GATTCCATGAAAAATTTAAATAATTATTTATTTATTTACATTTCTCGATAACCGATGATTATTTTTTAAAAAAAAATATGTCGATTGCTTCCATGCACGTAATATTAATTTATAACGCAGCATTTATTCGATAATATGTACCTTCTTATAATTAATTCAATTTCATTGCTCGAAAATGTATATTGGTATAAATTCACAATTCCTATATACATATGTTTACAAGTTTTATTAATTTGCATACTTTCGATAAAATAAAACATTACCATCCCTGGAAATAGCCAATTTTTACATCGAATTTACGCTCCCATTGTGGAATCTATGCAATTAATCGAGTTACAGCGGATTACATATCGAAATACGAATAAAAAAAAAAAAAACAAGTAAACATTTATTCAATACACGAATAAAACGTGGAAAACGAGCAATCCGAAAATTAACCCGCAATTTCGCATGAACGTTTCTATTCTTTCAATTTTTATTAATATCGTTAATCGATACAGTGCAATTCGACTTTTGTCAACATTTTCTTTTGTTCTTTTTTTTTTTTTATAGATATTTGTATGAATGTTATTAAGTGCAGAATGAAATGAATATCGATGATCGTAAAGGGTGACATGCATGTTACACTAACCAATCCTGCTATCTCTATTTCGCCTGCGGTGATAATAAAATTGTAATGGATACGTGGAATTAACGAAATTCTATATTCTCTCGTGTCCCACAGTGCAGCCATTTTTCCGAAGGCCATTGAACGCTTGTTTCTTCATTTTTTTATTCGTGAATATTCATTTGATTTACAACCACCACTGCGGACAGTATTAAAAAAAAAAAAAAAAAAAAAAAAAAAAAAAAAAAAAAAAAAAAGGAAAAAAAGAGGAAAAAGGCAAGAGAGAAAAAAATGAAAGGAATAAAAATATATATTGAAGACGAAAAATTGAATTTTATCAAATTATGATTCTCATTCTATGATTCTCTGTATTTTTTAAGGGTTGCGTTTTAACATTCTCGCAATTGTTGGTTTAATAATGGTATGTAAAAATTTTTAATGAATCGCTGAAAATACAAGAAAGAAATTCAACAAAATTATACAATGTACAAAATGACGTATAACGATTAAATTGATCAGTGTTATAAAGATATTATTTAATCTGATAATTTTGATTTTTATGAAAATTTATCTGCATGTTTTAATTTCTTTATTTATTTATTTTTTTGATAAAACTTTGTTAATATATATAATAATAATGTATATAATAATTTCAAATAAATCACTGTAAATAATTGAATTATTTTATTACGATTATGTTATTATAATATTTATTTTATTATGGAAATTATATTAACCTTATAATTATATTAGCCTTATAATTAAATATTTTCATCTTGAATCAATATTAATCAATAATAATCATATCATTTTTAAAATTGTAAATATATAAAATTTAATCTTCTGGACAAATATTCATAATTATTAAAATTAAACTGAATATATAATTAAAATTGAATTTGAATATTTATTTTGTAATTTTAACTGTTAAAAATAATATTTATTTTATTTCTTAATATGATAAGATTGATATATATATATATGATTTGTAAATCATATACATTTATTACTTATATTCAGAAAAAAGATTATGTTTAACTTATTATTATATTATTAAATCCTTTAAAGAAATAAAAAGAAGAAAATAAGTAAATTTAAAAAACCAAATTTCAAAATTTAAAAAACGATTCTACTCCTTGTACATCTAACATTTCCAATGACATCCATTCCTAATATAGAATCTCGAAAATTTTCACCATCTAACTATTCTTTTTTTATTCTAATTATTGCTTTTCAATAATCTAAACTTCCAACTATCTTAAAAATCGCCATTCTAACAAATTCAACGCCAACCTTTCCAAAAGAAGAAGAAAGAAAGAAAAGCAGATAGAGAAAATACAGAATATCCTGCTAACTTTAATCTGGTTACTCGTTTCCAGGTTGTCACAGGTGTCGAATGGACTCTCACAACCCTCCCTAGTTTATCAGCTCTTCGATTAATCTGATAGGATTTGTAAATCTCTCTCTCTCTCTCTCTCTCTCTCTCTCTACTAAGAAAGTCATTCTCTCTTTCTCTCCCTCTCTCACTCGAAAAGGAGGTGGCGAGGGGGAGGAAGAGGGGGGCGGCAAAGGGACGAAGAAAAAGCGGAGGTAAAGCCGAGGAGGATTACCTGTTCCTTGCAATTCTCTCGGTTATATTCCATAGAATAGACAGCCGCAAGTGGTGAGATATTTTCCACCAGGATATGCGTGTCAGCTGTTACAAAGGAAAGCAAATATTTACACGTCGCCGACTCCGGGATGTCCAATTATCGCGTCCCGGGGCGTTTTATCCTTGCCGCGCTAACTTTCCCAACGATATGCAAAGCGGCTCTATTAATTTTCCACCACCGCGTCGGGGAAACGCGAGGCAACAAATACACGGGGAGAACTGTCTGTATCTCCGTGTATCCTTGAAATTTGCAACGAGGCCTCGGCCTACCCGGATGAAAATTCAAATCTCTTGCATTATGGAACGCGTCTCTATTAATTTTTAATGGGAGGGGGGAGGGGAGGGGGCTACAAGAGGCGAGCCGACATCTGCCAAAGGGGGCGGGAAGGGAGGGGAGAAGGGAGCGTATTCGCTTTGAAATTCGTGCCTTCGCTGTTAGCATAAACAGACGGGGGTTATATTAACTTTTATCCGGATGGTTGGATCGTTGCTCCGCGGGTTAAAACAATGCATCGTGAGGTATATAAGAGGATTTTTTTGCGCGGATTTATATTTCTGGTATAATTTTGAAATTGTCTAAATTAAACTGCTGTAGCATACTGTATAAGAAAATTTCACTGATTTTTGCTGTTATCGTTGTTGAAAGAAGTGAGAGAAAACGTATTTTTCTTTTTTTTTAAAGTAGAACTTGTGATTGGTAATTTGGAATTTTATATCCATCACTATAAACTATAATAATATATACTATAATGATATAAACTATAATAATATATACTAATAAAGCATACTTTTATTCATTTATTGTGAATAGAAATTAACAAAATTTATTTTTGAAAGTTTCTTAATCTGTCGATTAGGAAGAATTGTTATTATTATTAATTTTATAATTAATATTATAATACTATTATAATATTATAAAATGTTATTATTATTAATATGCATTATTATAAGAATCATTATTGCAGAAAATCATTTTCACAAATTTTACCGTAACAATTACTCATTGTGTCAATGAAACATCATTGCTATACACAATTATTATGCGCTATTTCCTTCATAACATTTGTGCAACGATTTTGTAACAAAAAGCAATCCACAAGACGCGACGATCCGTAAATTTGTTGACACGATTCAAATTATCTCGGTTCTAATAATTAAGAGCTCGAGAAACAGCATCGTTGGTACGTTGGTGGTTCAACCATCCAAACATTCCGTTAATCTCGACGAGCTCAGTCAACAAACGAGAGATTCTTTCAGAAGAATCACACGCTTTTCGAAAAAATTTAAATTCAAATAGAAAAATAAATAAAATAGTAATAATAAAAATAATGCATCGTTCTCGACCGATGGTAAAAAAGAAACGAGAGAAAATGGCGCGAAATTCGAAACTTTGCTCGAAACGATATCGCGAATATCCAGTTAAACGTCGTCCCTGGTGATTCGTTAATTACCAGCGCAACACACGAGCTACTTCTAATTACGTGGTTCCGTTTAATAGGAAACTCTTAACGAGCGACAAAAGATTCGACGTGCAAATTTCGCTGACTATACGCGGTTTTCTCCGACCGTAAAACCATGTAAATTCACCCGTGTTATCGCGTTACTCTTATTTCTGTTTATTTTCCATTCGAATCGAACCTTTACGATTTTTTCTTTTTTTTTTTTTTTTAGGAAATATAAGAGCAGAGAGTCGAATGTTCGTTTAACAGTTTTGATTAATCTTAAAATTTTCCAAGTTTTTTATACATGTGGAAAAAAGAACATGCTATTTTCAAGAATTATTCGTAGCATTCTATTAATCTATTTGCCTAGTTATTTTTGAAATTAGTTTTTATTATAACAGATGTTATAAGCATTATTATTATTAACTTACTGAAATAAATAAAACTCTGGATAGAATATAAATTATAAAACTGCATGTAAGAATTAACAATAAAGTTTATCATTATTTATCTATTTGTTTACATCTATTTACTTATGAGATATATAAATACAAATAATTGTAGAAAATAATATTTTAAATACATTTAAATGTTCGATTTGAACAACAAAAATTTTATATGAAACAAACTATATTTATTTAATTCTTTTATTGAATTTACTATTTGCAAATTGAATAGTGAATATTATCAAACTGTAATTACTTGATTTCCATAAGTATAATTGCATTTAATATCTTATTATATATCTAAAAACGTTAAGGAATCATACCAAAGTTAATTTTTCTTCATATATACTTCTTCACATATTCTATTAAAAAATAATTAATTTAGAAAGTGTTTATTCTTTAATTTTGTATAATTTAACATTTGAAAAATAATATATATTCATCTATTCTTTCATAAAATTCATCACGAAAATTATATTAAACAAAACTCATTTTATCAATTATTGAAATTGATTCGAGCGATTTTCGAAAGAAAAATTTATTGAGATCTCCTTAATTCGACACCAGCCATGGGACGTGTTCAATTAACGAGGCTCTACGTATAATTTGTAGCAACCGAATTAAACATTACAACACATAACTTACATATCCACGATCTAAATAAAGATCGTATCGCATGTAAATTCGTAAAATTAATCGATTATATGGTTTAATTAAACATTTTCGAATTTTTCGAATCGAAAAAAAAAAAAAAGAAACGTATCTATCTAATGATAAATTCACGAATAATTGCCAAAGAGACAGCTACAAATTATTCGATCAACCGACTGAAGACACGTTTTTCTACTTTACAGATGACGTTGCAGGTTTCCTGGGTCCGGCACAGGGACGTCCATCTGCTCACCATCGGCCGTTACACGTACACGAACGACCAACGATTCAGGCCGATCCACAATGCGCAGACGGACGACTGGACATTAGAAATCAAATATCCGCAGCTTCGGGACAGCGGTTATTACGAGTGTCAAGTATCCACGACGCCGCACATGAGTCATATCGTATATCTGGATGTGATCGGTGAGTTTTTCTTAAAGAGTAACATTTTCTCGTGGCATTTAGTAGATTCGAAAGATCGTTCGAAACGAGATTTTTCATTTAATGCAGAGTTTGTGTTGATGTAAATGTTACATATTTTTATTAAGGAATGAATTTTGAAAAAAAAACTTATCGTAGTTATAAATATAAATTGTGAGAAACAATAGTGTAACAAGAATCGAATAATAACATTTTTGTATAATGGATTTCGATAGGCATGTATCATAAAAAATTTATTTATTACACAGTTGACTGGATACTTCAGGAAGGATGAAAAAGTTATCAAAAATGATTTTTTGAATAATGGAAGAGATTTTAAAATTTTATTCTTTTTAATGAAATTATATAAGAGATAGTTTAATTTGATACTTAAAGTTTACCATATGAAAGACAAGGAGAGCATGATACTAACATCACATTACATTTTTCTCATAATATATATTCAAAATTATTATAGTTTCATTTAAAAAAATGAAATTATTCTAAAAATTCTTAAATCAAACAATTTGTGTTAAAAATAATTATTTCAATCATCATTTCATAACACTCTTCATAACAAAGTTAAAAAATTTTTTTTTATGTGTATATCCTATATATTTCCGAAATTTAATTGTATATCAATGACATTAGAAAATCTCGAAGATAAGGTTAAGAGGTCCAACTCGAAAATTTCCAACTCAAAGTTTAATTCAAAACTATGATACGTACTTGATCACTGATCGAAAACTCCAAGTTTCTCGAGCATATATTTCGTCTAACGAGATGAATTTTGTATCTGTGACATCTAAAAGTAAGGCAAGATTTTTGCATAACTTGGTCAGAGGAGTGATTGAAAGCAGCCCATCATCGTCACCGTATGATTTTTAATTAAACGTTAGCAAGGTGGGCTGATCGCATACGCAACAATTAGTTAATTCTAATCTGAATCTGCCCCAGTTACTTGGCCATTGCGCGAAATTTAAGCCAAGCTTAAATCCTGGCACAGTGCCAATTGAACACCTGGAATTGGTTGATACCGATTTCGAGCTAAGCCACGACATCGAACAAGGGTTTGATTACGCGAGATTACTTCCCCAACTTGAATTCCGACTGGTTAAGCTCTGTTTTCTATTCCTCGCGAAACTGATACGAGTGCACACGAAACACGGCAATCGTTACTCCCACTATCTTCTTAATCGGTATTTATACTCGTGGGACGATCCTTTATAGGTCGTTACAATGGATTACCTGCTACAATTAATTTCTCTGCCAAATGTTAATCACTTCCGAGTACTCGCTCATTGGATGCGCGTCCATTATTGGTTGGAACGTTTTACATTTTCGCGATTCTAAAAATGCTATATGTTACAGGAATATATGTGAAACGAAAAATAAATTCAGGTCCTATTTTCTATTTTATTTCGTTTATATTTTGCGTTAAAAAGTAACGAGCGTTGTTTCGTTATTTTATTAGAAATGACAGTGTTATGAGAAAATGTAATGTTTCATGCGTGATGTAGAAAGATAAGGTTAGTGTAAGTAGTATAATGTATTTTGAAAGTTTGTTCCGGAAAATTTGAAAGATTTTACAGTTTAATTTAGAAAATGTGAAAAAAACGATGTGAATAATGTAACTCGTTATAAATCGACAAAAACGACTTGTACATTTATTAAATCTCAATTTTGTAAACGTTTCTTCTTAAAAATTTTAGAATTTATAAACATTTTGAGTTTTTTTTTAATATAATTAATCGAATTAAAGTATATATTTTTATTAAATAATATTTATACACGAAAATGAATTTGATTTTCAATTTTCTAAAAAATTAGCGAACTTTATGTTTATGATCTTTCGATTTCACTATTCTCTGACCATTCCACCAACCCCATAAAGCTTGCAAACTTATCCCGTTATAGAATTTATGTTCTACAATCTACAAGAGAAAGTGTTAGTGCTTACCCAACGAATGTCTTACGTGAAATTTGATATCTACCATTTTCTTTAACCTAAAATTCTAGTTTCAATTACCATTCTTTATTTGTATAGAAGGAAACTATTTCCATATAAAAACTAATCCAATTATAAAATCTATAAATCAGAAAAAGATAATAGCATATTAAATATAATATAAAAAATTGCTTGCGTTTTGAAGGGAAACAATTTTTTTAGAAACGAGTCCGTTTAGCCAGCATTTATGCAACTAGAACCTGAGTGCTCGAAAAAAAAAAAAGAAAAAAAGAACGAACGAAAGAGAAAGAACAGGAAAAGAATGGCGACGTTGTTTAGCCATTCACACGTTAAACGTTCTTTGTTCTCCTGGTTTTACCTTTCTAAGTATTACTTATAGCAAGGAACGTGATACTGTGTCAAAAACTTTTAGCCCCTACTTACGAAACAACTTACATTCTGTGCAAAGTACGTAGTATTACGTTATCTGTTACGAAATTACAGCAAATTGGAATAAAAATTTTTATTTATATAATTTTTGTGAAAAATTTTTAAGGAAATTCATACATTCACAATTTGTTCAAGAAATAAAAATTCAAATTTTTTACATTAAAAGAAAGCTTTATATTCAATTGAATCTGCAACAATCATCTTATTTTTGTGAAACATGCAATTGCAAGAGATCATTAAAATATAGAAATTATTATTAATCAAGATATTTTCAACTTTCTATGATTAAAATAATTACATTTAAAAATCTCTCGAGTTTCTTATTTTATTCAATTTTGAGATATTGAAATACTTTTAATTAGAAAATGACCTGAGAAAAAAATATAAAAAATAAAAAATTTTTTAAATTCATACAATTTTCTTACATCGTCCAATGGAGGAAAGAATTAGCTGTAATAAGATTGAAACTTTAATGGCTTCAATCATTAATATTTTAAGAAACAATACTATTACTGTTTGTCTAAAGACGGTCCATATTTTATTAATTTCCATCTAAATGTTATATTTTATTGTTAAACAAAATACAAAATGTAATACAACTATTTACAGAACATAATGGAAATTAATTAAAATTAATCACATTTTATATTTCATTTGCTGTTTTTCTCCATGCTAATGCAATCAAAATAATCTCATCGTCAGCCAATGAAAGGGTATTGCTAATAAGTTTCGCGATACGACAATTATTCCAAGGGAATTTACACTCCAATTTGTGCATTTGTTTCGCGCGTCAAAGGTTGTTCAGTCTCGATGTAAACAGCCACGATGAAAACGAAACAGTCGCGTTAAGATCTTCAACGTCTATTCTCATTTCTCTTTCTTGTATTGCACCTTTATAACCATTTTGCCCCAAGACGAAGGGCAAGTAGCTCTCTGGCAACCTTTAATAACATCGTTTCTGTCACCTCTAAGACCGGCAAATTTACTCGAGAAAACGGAAGGAAATACGATGAATTCTAGCCGATAAGAAGCTGGACAGAAATGGATAGAGTAACGACGATGAAACGTCGCGTTAATGAAAAATAATGTCTAAGATCCTTATTAGTGTTTTCATTAACCTTTATTATTATAGAGGCGGCAAGGTTACGAGCCGACGTTCTCCCCTTACGTGACCGTATTAAGGTAAAAATATGAACAAAAGAATAACTTGTAACCCGGTGTTATGTTCACGTTGTAAAATTATTGCATGTTGGAGGAAAGCGAAGAAGCTTGATAAAATAAAATTTTGTGTTGATTGTTATTTTTTATGTTACAATTAAAATATTCGATACATTACAATTTTGATAATTGTAAATGACAATGTATTAAAAATTCATCAAGATCATGAAATTGTAAAGATTTTGATGGTTGTTCGTTAAAAATTTGTTAATAAAAATAATTTAGATTAGATTAGGTTACGTTAGATCATTGTTTGTCAAAAAATTATTAACCTAATCTAATTTAATTCAAATTCAATAAAAATCATGAAATAAGAACATTTGATTGACAATATCAATTATCATAATTTTTTTGAATGAAATTTAAATACGACGAAACATAATTATTTTCTATATATTTTCTTTTGCATATTTGTTCGTTACATTTTTCGCCATTTTACTTATTAATTTTTCATATTTATCAAAAATTAATATCCGCCATTTTTTCAATTTTTAATATGTCAGATATGTTATTAATATTACAACAAAAGAAAATCAGTGATCTCAAATTTATTTTTTTTTAACTTTAAGAAAGTAATCGCCTTTTTTATCCGAAAACTTGTTTAATTCCTTATAAATCATAAGAAACGCAAAGATATCAAAAAAATGGTTTGAACGAAAGTTATACTTCTTATTATTTAAGAGAATCTTTGCAACAAATTTCCAAAAAGAGAAGATAAATATTTTTTCAAAATAGTCACTATTCTTATATGTAATCGGACAATCATGCGCATTAAAAATCATTAAAAATATCGTTCATCTGTCTAATCAAATATTATAAATAGAAAAGCAATTGCTTGAGTTGTATCATGTTACTTGCGAACATTGATGCCCCTCACCCCTTCCCCCATCAAAATGAGAGATTACATAAAATCGACGATTGCGACGAGAACGAAAACTATTTTATTGGCTCAGGTTTGCCCGCGAGATTTGGGTCTAATTCGCAAGGAAATCAGTAAATTGATTGCAGGTGGGTAAATATTGCTCGGTACTATCTTCAAGTAGATGGATTCCAAACTTTCGGTAGCGAAGGCAGTTCGCAAATATTGCCACTTCCTCGCCCCGAGTTCGATGCTTATACAGGAAATCGGGCTCCCGTTTGCACACTATTATTGCTGCGCCTCGCCATCTTCGCGGTGTCTTCGCGGTTTTAAACTTTAAAGCACGACGATTTTCTTCTGACGAATATTTCGTGGAAACGTGAAAATATTGAAATTTAAGGAATGCGAGTTCTTCGATAGAAAATAATTTCTATGATGTACTTTAAAGAAAAATTCTTATAATGTTATTGTATCGATAAAGTTTGTTTAAACAAAGAAGAGACACGTGAAATATCATTTAAAAACTCT